ACACACACAGAGCACACACACAGAGCACACACACGGAGCACACACACGGAGCACACACACGGATCACACACACAGAGCACACACACAGAGCACACTCACGGAGCACACACACGGAGCACACACGGATCACACACACAGAGCACATACACGGATCACACACATGGAGCACACACACAGAGCACACACACAGAGCACATACACGGATCACACACACAGAGTACACACACAGAGCACATACACGGATCACACACACAGAGTACACACACAGAGCACACACACGGATCACACACACAGAGTACACACACAGAGCACACACATGGATCACACACACGGATCACACACACAGATCCCACACACGGATCACACACACAGAGCACACACACAGAGCACACACACGGAGCCCACACACAGATCACACACACAGAGCACACACACAGAGCACACACACAGAGCACACACACGGATCACACACACAGAGCACACACACAGAGCACACACACAGAGCACACACACAAGGATCACACACACAGAGCACACACGCAGAGCCCACACACAGAGCTCACACACAGAGCACACACACAAAGCCCACACACGGAGCGCACACACAGAACGCACACACAGAGCCCACACACGGATCACATTAACTCACAGTGAGGTTACCAGCTGTGGAGGCAGGAACACACAGCAGATTATTTCTGAAATGGTAAGAGTTTGGAAAGTATAGATACACAAAGGGTTCGCTTGTTGACAAGTCACTAAAGGCTAACATACATGTACAGCAAGTTATGAGGAAGTCTAATGGAATGTTAGTGTTTATCACAAGAGGATTGGAGTACAGGAGCAGTGAAGTCTTGCGTCAATTCTACAGGAGCTTGCTTAGACCACACCTGGAGTACTGTGTGCAATTCTGGTCTTCTTATCTCAGGAAAGATATTATTGCCAGAGAACGGGTGTAATGGAGGTTTAACAGAATTGTTCCTGGGATGGTGGGACTGTCCTATGGAGAGAGATCAGACAAACTGGACCTACATTCTCCAGAGTTTTGAAGAATGAGAGGTAACCTCATTGAAACTTACAAAATACTGAACAGTCAGACAGTGGAGATATAGGGAAGATGTTTCCCTCAGTTGGGAAACCAGAGAACACAATTTATAAACTTAAAACAAAACTAAAAATAAGGGGGAGGTGCAGCTTAGGTGTAATTTTCTTTACCTAGAGGATAATGAACCATTGGGATTCTCTACCAATGAGGGCTGTGAAAACTCAGTCCATGTGTGTGTTTAAAGTAGAGATTGATCCATTTGATCAGGTTCTGAAAACGAGTCACACTGGACTTGAATCATTAACTCTGCCTTCTCTCCAAAGAAGCTACCATACCTGCTGAGTTTCTCCAGCAATTTCTGGGATTTTTTCAGATGTCTAGCATTACAAGTTTGCTGATGACACCACCGTAGTGGGTCAGATCTGAAACAATGACGAGACAGAATACAGGAAAGAGATAGAGTGTTTAGCAGCATGTTGTAAAGACATCAATCTCTCCCTCAGTGTCAGCGAAATGAAGGAGCTGGTCATTGACTTTCGGAAGCAGCGTGGAGGACATGCCCCTGTC